AGCAAAATCACCAAAGCAGCGCAGAACTTTTTATGCTAATTTGATGCGTTTCATGTAACAGTTGCCTGCCGGTCAACGATTGTGGGTGTTTGCGTGTGTGTGTGTGTGTGTGCAACATTAAACATTTTAATAAGCTTTTTAAGAGCTCGCCTTACTTTAAGCGTGGCTAAGCGGGTTAAGCCGCAGCAGCAGCACCACTTCGGCCTCTAGCCGAATTTGTAGATGCTTTGCTTTGGCTTCCCTACAGATCTCAAGTTGTACTTAAAACTTATACAAATGTTAACTTTCTTCTGAGCGTGGCGACATTTTAGCGCTCGTGCGCCGTGTCTCATGCAAATGCGATGCAAAGGAGCATGAAAACTCTCAAGTAGGCGCCTGCCACGCCCACCCGCTGAGCGACACTTTAAGCTGCAGACAACAACTGTATATGTGCGTGTGTGTTGAGGGGACGGGGGCGTGTCTACGAGCACTTGTCAAAAGTCAACTTCACATTATGTCAAGCAGCGTTTTCCTTCCTGCGAGCTTTTCTTCATATATTTTCTTAAGCATTTCTGTTGCTGCAGGCAGCCGCTGGCAGGCGTCGGCCCGCAGGCACTTTGTGCCCTTGCCTCCACGGAGGAGCCCGAAGGGAGGCGGGACCTGCGAGCTATCTGCGCTGTGCTGCGCGCCTTGCCCGCTCGCTCGCGTCTTTACCACATAATGCGAGGTTGACATTTACGATATTCCTGGGCATATTTTTTTGGCGCCTCCTGCTGCTTTTCGTGACTGTTTTATTTGATATTAATGTGGTTGCTGTTGTTGTTGTTGGCAGCCCGCAGGTTAGCACATTATTTCCATAGCACTCATTGCGGCGCCTGTTTATCACACACACAAACACACACGCAACTGGGCCACTTCCTCGTTTTCGCCTGCTTAATTTGCGGTTGCCTACGGCGAAGGATTCCGCGAGGATTTTCTAGTAAAGCACTCTCACCATCCCCTACTCTCTTATGTCCCCGTCTCTCCCTCCCTCTCTCGCTCTGGTCTGGCCGCTCTGCACTTGACGAATGGCTTTGGTGGCCAAAGGACCCGTCATTTTTCAGCGAAAATTGTGTCACTGTCTGGCATAATAAATGCCGCTAGATTTATTTGATATCTAAATAGGCTGTCGTTGCGCGACGCATTGAAGCCATGTGAGAAATGTGGACCACTTAACATACCCAGCAGACAGCGTCTCCAACGGGTAGCCCAAGCAGAGGCGGATGCCTGCCTGTGGTCGGCAGCAGCCTGAGAAATTTCGGTATAACAAATCATCGGAACATCTTAAAAGCCATTAATTCAGTGGAACATTATAGAAACCGCTTGTATTATGTAGGAAAGCGAGAGCCATATAATTTGATATATATATCTTGGTATAAGAAATCATCGGCTTATCTGTAAAGCCATTAATTCAATTATTGACTACAGAGATATACATTTGATATATAGAAACTTGACAATTTAATGGGACCAAGTTTTAAATAATGTTCAAGCATTAAAGAGCTCCAATGTTTCTGAAATGAAAGATATATGCAAATAATTTCTCTAAAATAAAAATATTTATAAGCAAAAAAAAAAAAATATATATATATATAGAAAAATAAAAGCATTTCAATATTCAAATTCCAATATATAAACTCTAAGGATATTTAGGCTTTCTTTAATGACGATATCTCTTAGTCAGTCACTTCATATTTTGCTTGCCTGCCTAAGTTAAAGCTCTTTTCTGATTGCCTATGCTAAGACAGAGGTCTTTGTTTGGGCAAATCTACACAAAAATTGATTGATTGGTTTATAAATCAAGTAAATTTGATCGCAAGTGTCGAGAGGAAGCCTTGGGCTTTATGCCTTGGGCCTGGTGAATCCTTTGAGCCTTTGAGCCTTTGGGCATAAACTTCTTGCAGCCGCAAACAAACTCATTTCATATGCCGCATGCCTCATGCCGCAGGCTGCACTCTGCCTGATTTGTTTGCTGCTTCCACACACACACACTCAGACGCTCTCTCACACACACACTGACGTCAGAAAAAAGTGGCCATATTTATCCGTTGTTGAATCATTTAAGCCGCATTATATGCGAACGTTGACGACGTATGGCAAAAGCGAAAAGTTATGCGACTTTGTTTGCGCAGCAAGAATAAAACAGCAACTGCAACTGCAACTGCGACTGGCAGTGCAACAGTAGCATGCCACATGCCACAGAGAATGCCACAGTGAGTGCCACACAGAGTGCAACTGCAATTTTTCTCATCTTTTTGGTGTTTATTTATTTATTCAGCGCTGAATTTTATTTCATTTCAGTTTATTTTCGCAAGAAACTTATTTTCGTTTTTACTTCAATTTCCCGTGCGCATGAAACAAAACCAAATGCCTAGCAGACAACAGTGTGAACGAACTTTGAATACTCTGCACTAGTACAAAATTGTATTTTGACACAACTGAGAGTGAGAGTAGCTAATATAGACCTGAATATACTCTTTTATATACTCAGCTCAAATACTCTTTTATTAAATATATCGTATATTTATATATCATACCCTTTAAAATTCTAGAAAAAAAGCGATATACACACGAATATGTATGTATAACAAGGATGTTGAGCATACAAAAAAACGCAACTATAACAATAAAATCCTTTACATACACATGCATACATAACACACACACACACACACACACTCAGCTGAAGGCTGCGTTTTTGTTGCTGCTGCTTTTCACTTTTGCCATTTGTTCTGTCACTTCCGGCGGCAGCAACAAAAAAATGTATATAAAATGGAAAACAACAACAAAATGGCCGCCCGCACGCTGCTTCCGTTGGTCTCTCATAGCCTATACCTCTCTCGCTCTCGACTTATATTTGCCTACAACATTGTTGTTTTTATTGTTATTTTTACCCCTTTCTATACCACCCTCTCTCTCTATCTCACTGTGTCTCTCCCTCTCTCGCTCTTTCTTTCATTGTTGTCTTGCGCCAGCAGCGTTTATTAAATGTCACACTGCGAATTTGCCAACGGCCGCCAAAGGCATTGCTTTAGCCAGCTCCATCTCCCCTGGCCGCTGCACTCTACTCATTCCTATCTGCAGCTCTTCGCTTGCCTTGACTATCTGACATCCGTCTGGCATTCCGGCCTGGCCATGACGCGCACACACACACACAATGGCACTTGTCGCGTTTGGAGATTTCACTCAGTATTCGCTCGATGTTTGCTTGTTTGTGCCTCGTGCCTCGTGTCCTGTGCGACGCTTTTGTTTTTTGTTGCTGCTGCATTTTCTATTGTCGCTGCCTTTAAGTAACATATTTTTAGTTGCTTAGCGATACGACTCGCCCGCGCCTGCTGCCGCCCTTGCGCTCGCACTCACTACAGCTGAGGCACTGCTGACAACTCCCCAGGCAGCCAGTCGGTGACAATTTCATTTATTTTACGCTTCCTTTTGCCTGGGTCTTTTTAAAAACAAAATCAAACTTTGTCGACTTTTTGGATTTTTGTTAGCTCTGTCCACATGCCGCCTGCATGTGGAGTGTTTTCAGCTGAAACTTGATTATAAATGAACAGGCTATACCCTAACAAAAGTCAGCTCAGCTGCTTTAACTGAGCTTTAAGTTATCTCATTGCCTGAGTCGCCTACAATTCTGTTGATCGATGGGTTTTACTGATATATCTCAATAGTTTACAAGTAAGCTATTGAGTTTTAGACTTGTTCGCAAGATTGTGTAACTTGAGAGCTTAAGCTATATCTTTAAGTAAACATTAAGCATTGCTTAAGCCTTAGCTGAACATAAAGTAAAGTGTTTCTAACTGAACTTTTGGTTATATCCTTAAGATAGTCCTTTCTTAAACATATACACTTTAAGTAGTTGAAGTTTCATGTAAGCTTTAAGCTTGCTCAATCGCTTTTTACCAAACTAAGCGCAGATTTCTTTAGCTTTGCCTTGGAACTAAACTTAATTTAATCAAGCTTTAGGTAGAATATTAAGAATTCTGTCTTTTGTCACGTTGCTCACTTTGCTTTGTAATTTTGAATTCGTTTTCATGTGAACGTTGTGCTTTTTGCTTTTGTCGATTTACATTTCTTTTATGCCCGCCGTCTGCTGCATATCACATTGCGTATACGCAATGTTGTGTGTGATTTTCATTGCCTTGGGCCGATGTCTGTTTTGCATATTGAAATCGTTATAAGAACGTTCAAAAAATTTGTTAAAAGCGATACGCAAGAGCAATTAACTCATGTTTATTAAAATTGTTTTTTCCTTTTTATAAATTATTGGCGTTTGTGAAGTTGTTGTTTACTACTCATTTATGTGCGGCAAATGCACAGAGAAAAAAATTTGATATTTATTTTCAATTATTCGGCATGACTGAAACTGCAACTGAAATGCAATGCTGCAAGCAGCTGTTGCTTGTTGGCTGCTGCAAAACAAGCAAAAATTGTAATTAAATTGCAATGAAAACGAAATGCAATTCTCCAATTAAATGCAAAATGTGGCACAAGATGTGCTGCAGCAGAGTAAATGGCATGCCAGCTGGTCAGAAGGCAGTAGCAGTAACAGCAAAGTAAATATACAGTGCAAAATATTCAATTACAAGCAAAATTTGTGGAAATCCAAAACAAGAAAGCAAAGAGATAGAGGATGAGACATGGAGCTGGTGCGAAACAACATGGGAATATATGTACCAAATAAAATGTAGCCTCAAGAGTTTCAAGCTGTTGAAAGTATCCGAAACACAGAATTCCACAGATGCTGTTTAGAGAGGGAAGCCCGCAGCGAACGGGATGGCTGGGGCTGGTTTTAGAAGTTTGCTTAGGTGTTGGCCACTTGAGATGCCAAACGAGCCAACGTATAACTCGCTCCAGCTTTCAGTTAGTGGAATTAAATGTGCTTATACGACTGCACTTGGCCAGCAGAGTTTTTAGATATTTGTTCGTTAGTTTGGTCAGCAGATTGTTTATACTTAAATCTTTCATTTTTCATTTATTTGCAGAGCACATCGGAGCCCGTCTACTCGCCGACAATGGCTGGAGGTCTGTTTTCGATAGACCGCAAGTTCTTCGAACGACTGGGCACTTACGACTCGGGCTTCGATATCTGGGGCGGCGAGAATCTGGAGCTGTCCTTCAAGACCTGGATGTGCGGCGGCACTCTCGAGATTGTGCCCTGCTCCCATGTGGGCCACATATTCCGCAAGCGTTCGCCCTACAAGGTAAGTGTCCAGACCAGGCCTCTCATTAACGCAACAGCACAATACGATAGCAAACCATTTGAGAATTAAAAACTTATACATGCAGCCAGCTACGATGAGTGTGCGTGTGAGTGTGTGTGTTTTTGTGTGCTGTATTCTGTTTGTTGTGTGTCGTGTGTGGCTCGAGGTCCGTGTTTGGTCAGCAGTGGCCCAACGGTGGCTCCCTCTGTGCACATGTCGCACATGCCAACCGCAGCAAGCAGCTGAAACTGCTGCAGGACATAAACACGAAACCAGAACTTCGACATGGACTGAAACTAGGAGCAAGGACATGGGCTAGGCACTGCGGCCGCTGTGCCACAGTCTTTGGCTGCTGCCTCAATTATCAACGGTTTACGCTTGACAAAAGTTTGGCAACTGTTGTGTATGGCATGCATTAAGCTGCAACGAACTGTATAGATACCTGCCACATGCCACATGCCGCATGCCGCATGCCACATGCATACGACTCGCAATAGAAACGGCCAATAAGCTGCCGAAAATGACATCAACTCTGGGTGGAGGCACCCTATGCACCCCATAGAGGATCTCATAAAAGCAACTTCACTTTGTGGGCAAATAGGCCATTAGCGCGCATCATCAGCTCTCCATGTTTTCTGCATTCGACAAACTTTGTGGGCAAAATTCCAATTGAACTTCAGCAATTTGACTCCATCAATAAGTGCGAAACTAGCTACCGGCGCTTTAACTTTGAGCCTCGAACTTTGACAGTTATGAATATGTTCAATAGCATATATCGATGACCTGATTATCGATATATATTCACAACTTGATATGAGTCTTTTTCAAAGTGTATTATAAAGACTTTATTAGATATAGATAAGGATAGATAGCTAGGCTATTATACATATGCCTTGCTTGGCCAACAGCTTTTTGCCTATGAAATCAAACTTTTTTGTAATCGATAACTCTTCGATATCAAGTTAACCTTCTTATATGACTAAGCAGTTAAGTTTTGGTGCAGTAAAACAACTTACTATAAGCATACAAATATTGTATCGACAGCAGATAGATGCCTTAATAGACAGATAGATGCAGCTGAAATACTCTTGAATGAAATATATTTATAATGGTTAAGTTACGTTATTAGTTTGAAAATATTTACCTTTGTCAATGCATCAATATAACTAAAAAATCGATAAGTTTTTAAAGAACTTATTGTCAGTGAAGCGAGTCTTTAAGCTGCCTCTGGCACAAGCTACTGCATATTAGCCACAAGTCTCCACAAAGCTGGCAAGGGCAACAAGCATAGGCACACACGCACACAGGCAGACACTTTCAGACCCACACACGCACAGACATAAACAAGCACAATACACAGTTGGCAAACATAGGGCAAGAGGCAGACAATACGTAGAGAGGGCGAAACTGTGGTTGGTGAAGACAGATAACCACAGAGACGCACCGCAACAGCCACCGGCAACAGTAGCAGCAGCGGCAGCGGCAGGAGCAAGCGGACAACCAGCAGAAGTTGGTACACATGACAGAAACGGACTCATTCAGGTAATTAGGCTGCCTGGCCCCGCCCACCTGGCCCACAAGAGGCATTACGTTAAGCTGCAGCGCCAGATTCAGATTCAACTCCATTGTATAAGAGCCGATTGTTTGTTTGCCAAATATTTTCTGTGGCTTTTGGCGCCGCGCACTTTGCTGTTGTTTTTGTTCTCATTTGTCAGTTGCAGCCCAATTGTTGCTATGTAAATACAGCTATCCTTATCTCTGCGCTTCGCATCTCCTTCTCTTTCAGTGGCGCACTGGCGTGAATGTGCTGAAAAAGAACTCGGTTCGTCTGGCTGAAGTCTGGATGGATGATTACGCCAAATACTACTATCAGCGCATTGGCATGGATAAAGGCGACTTTGGTGACATTAGCGAGCGCCAGAAGCTGCGGTAAGTAGAGTGAAAAATTCAATAAAGACCTTTAATAGATTGTATAGCCAATTGATGCTAGCAAAGGAACTTTTGTCAACAGCCTGGGCGAACAAAAGTTAAAGAAAGCTTAGTTAAGCAGATAAACAGAGATAAATTAGTTGTGAGCTGAACAAGCAGACATCATGAAGTGATTATATCAAGCCAATATAAAATCAAAAATGTCCACAATTCAGCACCGCAAAACTTATTTAGTGATAGCTCAATATAACTCCAGTATATATACCAAAGTCTTACACGCTAATTAACTTCTTTCCGTACTCACTATCTGCAGCGAGGACCTGCAGTGCAAGTCCTTCCAGTGGTATTTGGACAACATATATCCGGAGCTCTTTATACCCGGCGATGCAGTGGCCAACGGCGAGGTAAGTTGCACAGTTTACGTTTGGACAAAAGAAACACGCAGCTATTGTTCAGCATGTGGCATGTGGAGAATGGCTATATAACTGAGATATGGCCCCCAGACCTACCCCGCTCGTTCCTTCCGACACTCAAACAACTAACCCATTAATGTGCCAATTTTATGGATACACATACACGTTATGTTTCCCATTTCACAGATAAGGAACTTAGGTTATGGCGGTCGCACCTGCTTGGACTCGCCCTCGGGCAAGCGCAACCTGAAGAAGCCCGTCGGCCTATATCCTTGCCATCGGCAGGGTGGCAATCAGGTTTGTTACCACTGGCAACAGCAACAGCAACAGCACAAAGCAACAAAGCACTGCGACCGCCACAAACTCCGTTGAAGCACAAAACCGTTAAGATACAACTATATATATACCCCTCTCTCTCTCTCGCTCTCTCTGTCTGTCTTTTGACTGTGAGCTCGTGTACAGATTGTTTAACTCGAATTCCCCTTCAAAAAACATTTACTAATTTGACTAAAATGTACATTTTTGGCACAAAGGGCGATACTTTTTAATACCTCGATAACAGATTGCAATAACGATAACGATAACGATAACGATAACCCTGCTGCTACCCGTTTTCTAATATTATTGTCAACCATCAATCGTTATTGTCTCTGTCTCTTTCTCTCGCTATCTCTCTCGCACATATGACAAATCAAACTTAATTTACAGATAAGAAGCATTAATACGAACATGTGCATCGATGCTCCAAAGACCGGGGACGAAGAGCCTGTCAGTGTCTACGAGTGCCACGGCCAAGGAGGACATCAGGTATCCAACTCAACATCCATCATTGCCACGCCCCCACCGTACATCGTTACGCATTATTGCTTGGGATCTATCATATATATATTTATGTATATATATTATACTATTGTTGCATTGGTTTCGGCTATATATATAAATATATATGGGTCTCTCTCTCTCTCTCTCTTGCGACTGCTTCGACCACCTTCTGCTTGTAGTTAGACATGCGTTCGCTTGCTTGATTAACCTTTGGACTTAAGTTAACACTAAACTGCTACCGATATTTGTAAATATATAAATACATATATTTATGGACTAAAGTGACTAACATTTTGATTATACACTGATATAAAATACAACAGATCCTCTTCGTTGCACTCTCAGACTTTTGTGGCTGAGTTATGTTTGAGTTAATTGATGATGAAGCCCGTTAAAATTATATTTTGTGAATTGAGAAAGATTTACACCTAACTCAAAATGTCTTTGAAGTCACACACAATTTCTTCAAGAGAATCACGTATTCAGATAATTTAGGCAACGCCAAATATCGGACGTGCATTGCAAAACAAATTATTTTTTTCGTATGGCTCTAATTTTTTTTTCATTTTGTGTCTTTACAAAATAAATAAATATGCATTTATTTAATATGTATTGTATATTTATTTATTTTATATATATATTTATTTTTTCTTTTGTATTGCATAGTTTTTTATTAACATTTTTTTATAGTTTTTTTTTCCATTGAAATTAATACCTATTTTTATTTTATATTCCATAAATCAGCTAAATTATTAATTGTTAATTTAAGTTTTTAATTTTTTGGTTTTCCCTTTTTTCTATTTCGACTGTCAAGATTAATGTCTAACTACTTTGCAGCTGTCCTAAACTGATCTATTTTTAGAATTAAAGGTTTATTCTATATAAGAACTAAAAACACTTTCAGTCCCTTTTTAAGGCTGCTCTCGCTGTCTTCTGTCAGAAAGTGCTTTGGTTAATCTGTTCTAAGCCTAACCCGATTTTGAACTAACAAATTCGTTTTTTAGAGTCTGTTCTACATGTGCTCTGTATATAATACAAGTTTGAATTTTGATTGTGGTTCTCCCTAAAGCGTTCTACGATTCTGGCCCTGGGACCTTTTCAAAATTTTGTTGATTTTTGAACCAATGTATCCCAACGTATCCTCCTCTAATCTGCAACAAATTTTTGATAGTCCTGCGGTTTTGAGCACTAATTTCACGGAGTTTGTGGTTTAAGCAAATGTTGTTTTGTTTTGTTTTTATTTTATTTTCTTTTGCGTTAACCTTCTCTTCAAGTTTTTGACACTTAACGCATTCGCCTTCTAGCCGTAGCCTGAACGTAATTGTCAAGAAATTCAAAGAAAATGTTGCCAAAATGGCGTGCAAACTGCATTGACTGTAATACAGGAAACGACACACTCATACACACAACACACACACCACACACACACATATATACGCACACACACACACATAGTCACACGGAATGGGAATTGAGATTTATGCCACGTTGCAAAATTAATTAAATCGCAATCATAAATAAAATGACAAAAATGATAAATCATTTCCATGGCTTTGCTTTTGCCAGCTTCGTGTTGTGTCTGTCTGTTTGTCTGTCTGTGTGTGTGTGAACATTTTACACAACCTGCAACAACAGCAACAAATGCAACAGCAAAAACTGTGACAATTTTACGAACATTTAATAACAAGCATTTCGACAACAAAAACTGCATACGAATCAACTATCCACACACAGACACCCAGACACACTCTAAGCATACACACACACACACACTTATATATATACAAACACACAGATGCATTTTGCGGTGGGTTCTATGTTGTTTATTCAACATTAAATAGAAAGTGTTGACCTCGTTGCACGTCGTCGTGCAGCGCACAAAAAACGCATGAAAAATCGCCAGGCGGCTGTTTCGCCACGCCTTGGCAAGCACCCGCCGCCCCTGCCCCACGCCAAGCAGCAACAGTATGTGGCACCTTCGACGGCCTCCAGCCCACTCCTGCGCTCTGCTCGCACAGCATTGCAACAAAACGCTGTAAAGACATGAAACAAGTAGCAAAGGCGAACGACTCCAAAGGTGCCGACTACATAAATACCCTGTAAAACGAAGCTACAGCTATTCAGGCATGCAGATGAAACTGTCAAGCTAGCTAATATGCCCCACTTCAGACAGTTCAAGGGTATTTAAAGGCAGCTCGGCTCGCGACTGAATAAAATAATCAACATTTGCCAGCGTAGAGGACACACTAAAATGTGTGGGCGTGGCAAATTTTAATTTCGCTTGCAATGCAAAGAAAAAAGAAAAGGAGGGCGGTTGGGTGTTGTGGGAGTGGCGCCAGCCATTGCACAATTCTTTTGACTAGTCAAAGGATCTCCCAGCAACAACAACAACAACAAGGAAAGAAAAACCCGCGCAATATAATGAAAAAATTTCCATTTTAATTTTGGTTTTTTGCGAACGAGGCTAGCAAAAAAATGTTTTGCTGAGCGCTTATAAAATACTAAAAGTTGGCGAATGCATATTTAAAAAATACCAAAAAAATACAAACATCAGAGGAGGCGAGCTTAAATGTAAATGGAAAAGATACACACATAATTAAAAATGTAACACGCTGCAGTAGCAAATAAAAAAGGGAAAGAAGAAGAGGAGGGGAAGAGGAAAAGAGTTACCAAAAGAAAAGCCTTGGAATGGGCTTTTAAGAAGGAAAATGCATGTTAAGCTGAGCAAATGAAGGGCACAAAGTATGGGCAAGCGAGGGGCATGAGCAGATGGAGGAACATATGCGGTAAACGAGTAAAAATGTAAAATGTAAATATACAGTGAAGCCTGAGTCTAAGCGAACAGCGAGCGTAAAACCGTCAGAATTTTAGTTGGCAATTTAATCCACAAGTATTTTCCTTAAAATATTAATATGAGGAGAGCAAAGAGCTCATATAATGAAAATAGTTTATAAAGATATAAAAGTTAGTTAATAGAGTTAAGCATTTTACTGTAGCAGCCAGCAGCAAGCTGATTTCTTGTTCTGATTTTGTAAGAGAATAACTTTATTGAACATCATTTTCTATTAGAGTCCGACTTTATGAGGGTATTTTTTAGCTTGCCCTAAGCTGCAGCTACAACTTTTGCTCTTAACCAATTTCCGCAAATGGCATTTGAGTTTGGTTTGGCGAGGGGCTGGAGCAAATGTCGGCGCAACGAAATAATGTTGCAACATTATAAATGTGTGCAACCAAGGCACAATAAACAAGCCGAAACGGCATTCACGTGGCCAACATCATCAGCGTGGTCAGCGGCAACGGCGGTGACGGCGGCAAAGCGGAAGCGGAAATGCTAACACACAACAAAATGGCGGCCGTGCAGGCCACGGCCAGAACAAAGGCCAGGCCAGCAGCTGGCAACGGCAACGGCAACGGCAACGTGGCTCAAATTATAAAAAATCATGGCAAAACCACAGACAAAACACAGACCAACACACACACAGACACGGACAGTCGACTGGTAGCAGCTTTTGGCATTTAATTTAATATTAAATAATACTAAGTAATGCGGCTACTTGGCTTAAACGTTATGCAACAATTTCTGGCACTTGCCGTCACAATTTGTTTTAATAACACTGTTTCTCTCTCCTCGCCCTGTGCCCCGCCCTTTCACTCCTCTAGTACTGGATGCTTAGCAAAACGGGCGAAATACGCCGCGATCAGGCCTGCCTGGACTATGCGGGCAAGGATGTGATACTCTTTGGCTGTCACGGCTCCAAGGGCAACCAGGTGAGTATGGAGTATATCCGATATATAGTCTATATAATTCACTGAACTCTCTCGTGTTTAGTTCTGGACATATCGTGAGAGCTCGAAGCTGCTGCATCACGGCTCTTCGGGCAAGTGCCTGGCCATAAATGAGGCCAAGGACAAGCTCGTCATGGAGGAGTGCGATGCGTCGCATCTGCGCCAGCATTGGATGATGGAGAACTACGACAGCAGTAAATTGTGAGGCTACTTTTATGCAAAGGGCACCGTCCTGGTGGACAGCAGGAGCAGCAGTAGCAGTAGCAGCAGCAGCAGCATTAGCAGCAGTAGCAGCAACAGCAACAGCAGCAGCAGCCGAAGAAGGAGGACCAGCAGCAGCAGTAGACGTATTCATAGTTTTTAAGCGAAGGTCACGGCCCGCGAGAGTTGTGCAATAAGCATTAGCAGAGTATTTGCCATGGCTTTTATCTGAAGCATCAACATGAACGAACACGCACGCACATGCACACACCCAGATATAGTTGGAGATACAGTAATGTTGCACATACTACCAATTATTTATATTAAAATTCATTTCATATGTCTCAATGTGAATTGAAGCATGCGATAAACTTAGCGAAATTAGTTTGTAAGCGCACAAGCACGAAAGAGAACGACTGTTGTACAGTAGATCCTAAGTTTTCTAAGCATAGCACATTAATTATTGTATTTATATATATATACTATATAGTTCTTTAGCGATTTAAGCTATAGAGTTCAACTGGCAAGTCGTAGCGCAATTTTTGCATTTACAAGTTAAAAACTTTTTAGCACAATTTTTTTATTCAAAGCAAACTTTGTGTGTGTGTGCGTGTGTGTGTGTGTGTATGTATTTGACAGGCCAATAGCTGAGTTGTGCATGCATAAGTATGCATACATATATGTACCAGATATATTTATCTTGTACTATTTATGCATTCTCCAGACATCTAAATGGCTTTGCAAAAGTCAAATTCCAAATATGTTTTAGTCAGTAAGTCTTGCTTTAAGTCTATTGTTGTTGTAGTTTATTTTTTGGAAAGCATTTGGTGATTTTGCCCCTCTCCGCCCCTCGCCCCTTGCCACTCGCCCCTTGTCCCTTTTTATCATAGCATTCCCAACCGCCTACAAGTGTGTACTTATCTGGCACATCAGTTGCTCTTATTTATTTTGTTTTTTTAAGCTCGATGTTCGTTTCGAAATTATGAGAGAAGACAAGCAGAAACCTATGCCAAATTATGTTTACGAGGGTTCACATATATATTGCATATATGCATTACAACTTATATATATACATACATACATATTCATTTGCATTTTGTTATGAACTCGACAAGGACTACATATCCCGTTTGTTAGACAACGCCAGCTTACACAGTAGATACATTTCGTATGTAGCGTATATCAGCAGCAGTTCAGACAGACTTATGGATATCACTAAAGTATAGAGCTAGGTACTTAATCTTAAGACACAAATATGCAATAGTGCCTTCTACTTTTTACTGACATATTAATGCTAACGTACTAAAACTAAACGACTATAGAATTGTTCGCGCCCCCAGCTCTAATGGGTCGTCTTTTAAGTCACAAACAGAGCCGACTGTAAATACCTACATATATATATAATATAAAAGTGTACAATTTTATAGCGCAAATGTAAATAATCAAACAGTTAATAATCCTGCATACATATATACATATATCAAGCTATTGTTGTCATGTCATGCCATGTTTGATTTGCGATCGTAGGCACGTTTACATTTAGCGTACAAACCAAAAGCCATAAGTGTGGTTAAGAAACTTTTGATAATGATTCAATAATACCCTAAGCGCGTAGTGAATGTCTAGTACTTAAGCGATTACACAAGTTGTACAAGGACACACAAATAAAGTTACAAATAAACAAAAAAAACTGTGTTTAAATAAAAAAAGGCAATGACATAAATTGTTGTTCAAAAATTGTGTAAATCCGTTCAAATGAAGCTTTCTGTTGTTAATGTCTTGTGAATCATTTATTTTGTGATTTCACTCAATACACAATATGAAATAAATTTGATTTAGAGTTTATAGTGACTCTTTGCCATAAAAGGTTTGAGTATAAGATAAGACTGTACTAAAATTCGACTTCGAATTGATTTGACACAAATCACCTTTCGTAATCAGGTTTGTGTGCTGGATAAGCACCTAAGCAAGAAAAACTGCAGCATACTTTTAGGGCTAACTGAAAAAGAAATCCAATTTGATTGGAAGTTTCACTAATATATAATATATTTTCATTGTTTCGAATAAAGCTTATTTATTTCACTTACATTTAAATTAAAGAAATAATATTTTGATAATAATAAATACTTTATTGGTTTTCGCATCAGGTCTATATCGAAGTATATCAGTTTGGCTAAACATTTGCGTTTTGCCTGATCCAGGACCTTAGGGCGCCGACATACGTATACATGGCTGGGCGACCCTTGGCGCCGCATCCGAATCCCCAGGATACGACACCAAAAAGCTTGCCATCCACAGTCAGTGGGCCACCGGAGTCGCCCTGACAAGAGCTGATCTGTCCACTGGGATGTCCTGCGCACACCATACGATCCGTGAGTCCTGGTATGTTCTGGGCGTTGCAGAAGTCACGACTCCAGAGCTGCACCTGGGCAAACTTGAGGCGATTGGGCAGCTGCAGATTCTGATTGACTGCACCAAATCCGCTAATAGTGGCCAAGGTGTCGGCCGCATAGTTGGAGTCTGCGTTGGCCAGCTGAATGGTCTGAATGGCGCCGCCCAACTTTACAGGGCTGCTAAGCCGTATGAGCGACATGTCAAAGTCCTGGCTCTGCGCATTGTACTGCGGATGTATGATCAGCTGAGCGATGTCAACAGTCTGACCATTGCCAGCGCCCAGATCGTTCGTGCCCACCACCGCCTTCATCTGGCTGGGGCTCTGGCCAATGGTGCAGTGCGCCGCCGTTACGATCATCGTGTCGGATATCAAGGAGCCGCCGCAATGATGACGTCCCCTCAGCTGCAGCGACACTTGGTGCGGAAATTGGCCCGGCGCTGCAAACTGGCCGCCAATGATGCGGGACACCTCCGCACACCTGACTGGAAGGCAGGCCATGCTGAGTAGGAGAAGCCAAAGAGGAGTTAGTTGCTTGTAGCCCAAAGACATTGTAGAATCTGAGTGTGTTGGCTGTGTGCCAAAGCTGATGGTTTTATACCTGCCGGAGCACGCTGTGGGGACTCTTTGGCCTTATCGGCCTAGCTGCGGGAGCTCGGCCGACCCAGTTCCGTGTGCGAAATCGTGCAGTGACCCTGCCAAAAACAAGGTCAAACTATGTCGTCAGCTAGAATAGTTTTCTAAATGATAGGGCTTAAATATGCTGCTTAACAATTTAGTCAAGATCTTAACGTAGGTTTATAGACATGCAATAAAAAAGTGTCATGCGTGAGAATATGGAAGATTATCTATGACTAGATAAGTAAACTGTGTAATTATCATAATTCATAGATGCCAAATTTATTTTTGCATAATATTCTGCTATGTTATATAAATGAAAGTACCAGATTATCAACTTGAAAGGAATTTTATTTAATTGAATTCTGCTTAAATTTCAAACATTTATCCAAGAGTTTCTATGATTTATGTTGCTTATAGCTAACATATTGGGACAGCTCTAATAAATTGTTAAAAACAGAGTCCAATTCAGCCAACTTATCACAGCGGGAACCTGGAATAACCCTGTTCCTATTGCGAAATTGATAAATAATATTAAATGTTGTTGCCATGGCCTTCCGCGTTTATTGGTTTAGGCAAAGCACGAGTAATTTATACGTGTTTTGCAAGTGTGTGATGGCCATTGCTAATCATCCAGACGTTCTTCCAAATTTCGCGCTTGAAAACATTGCGATAATTCTGAACAGAAACCAGAAACTCGGGACCAAAAAGGGTTTGAGTCACAACATTCTCTGCGGCCAGGTTGCGATTCGTGGCGCTATGGACAATGACCAGCGGTGCGTTGCTCTAAAGGAAGAGTATTAAAGAGCATTAAAGAAGAGTATTCTGTAAATATATCGCTGCGCTACTCACGGGCACAGTTTCGCCCTCGCTCTCGAAGCGTTTGCATGGATCCACATGCATGCAGAACCAGTTGGTAAACGCCGAGGGTATGTCGCCATCGGGGCACAATACTTTCTGCAAGAATTAAATACTCTACAGTTAACAGAGTCTATATGCATATGTGTGTGTGTTACATACACTGCGATGCACCAGACCCAAGGGCAAATTGATTTCGCCGTACTTGCTCGAGTTGAAGGTCGTGTTGATCGCCTGCGAGAGGTTGTTGCGCTTGGGCGCGCTATAGAGCAGAATGGGATCGTCCGATGGGGCGATGCACTCCAGTCTAAAGCGCTGTCCATACTTCAGCTTCTCGCCCGAGCGATCCTGGTCATCCCCGCTGACAATGCGAAACGAGTTGCGCACGCAGGGCCGCTCCGACGGTGCGACAGTGAGCTCGCAGTCCTCGTTGATGGTCTGACAGAAGCGTATGGCGTACTCATTGATGACCACCGACAGAGCGGGCTGCAGCTCGGACGTGTCCATGTCTTGTATGTTCATATAGATGGGCATCAGCTGAATGGTCGCCCCGATGGTTATGTCGTGCTTGGGCGCCGCCAACTGCACCTCCTTCTGAAAGTTGTCGAAGAGCGTGCGCGCCTTCTCCACCAGCAGCTCGCCACGATCCCGCATCTTCCGAAAGCTGACCATTTTGTCCTGAAATCGAATTCATTTGCGATCATTTAACGACTATAAATGCATTGAACAACTGCGACGCACCAGCTCCAAGCAGTTGTCCTCGAACCAATTGCCAATGCGCACATTGGGACGATATCGATTGGAGCCCGACTCGAAATTGGACACTGAGCAAGGCATCGCGTCTTTTCTATTCTATTGGAGAAACAGTTAATTACATACAAAATTTATAAAGAAAAATATATATATGAATTGACAGAGATTTAACGTTTTATGGAAATTATTTTCAGAGCTGTTGTGGCTGCGAGAATTTGTTTATTACGAATACTTCGAAAACTATGAATAATGTGAATGAAAACTTATTTTGACAGTTTAGACAAAGCAGAGTATCTAGAGTTGAATAATGTATCTGTAAGTTACTATTTCTTATCGATGAGATGTTCAATCAGGTGTCTTTGAGGTTCTCATTTGGATTATCTTATTGATGCTTACTTTACTTTATGCAGAGCGAGGTTTATTTTATAGTTACTTTCTATGCTCTATCTGAGCATTGTATACTTTTAGACATTATCTATAAATATGCAACTTGTTTTACGTGGCGTATGCGTGATGTGAAGTGAGTAATAATTCTATAAATATTTAACAACAAAATCATTTTTCTGCATTTACTTAGTAAGTTTTTAAGAAGATTTGAATTGAGATAAGCAGCTGACTAATTACTTGATAGATGCAGAGTAGAACAAGAAGAACAATAGACAAGAAATATAAAACATTTCAGTAGACAAATTTAGATAAGATGCATTTAAATTTTTTGCTGCTTTTTGTCTTAGACTCTACAGCATTTACATCTTAAATCTATACTTATTTATTGCTTTCTACAATATTTCAATTTTATCTGATGTCCTGGCGGTCCAGAGAATGTAATCTCAGCCTTTGCCTGCTGTCATTCATAGACAGATTAGATGCGGGCTGCTTTGGATAGAAAGACAAAAAACTTTTGCATACTTTAGGCCGTTTTAGTTAAATAAAAACATAGGCCGGCGTGGCGTATGCGTAATGCGAATTATGTATTAGCCAGCGCTATAAATATTTAATGATTAAATTATTTGTGGGTTCGTCTGAAAGGCTATTTGCAATTACTGAGCAAATATTTAAGAGCATTTGCCTTAGATAGCGAGTGACTGGCTAACAGCCTCCGTGGCACTGTGTGGAAATGTCGTCTGGTGTAATACTTTGACACGAGTGATAAATAGGTAACGGTAAACAAGCAATAATATAAACAACAATAAATATAAATATCACAGCGATTAAGTAGTGCAGGGATGTGGGGCAGGCTGAGTGCTGAGTGCCGTTGCCTGGTTAGATATAACTCACGAGATAAGCGCTGTGTGTGAGGAACACAGGTTTCACTTGGTGCTTTTGCCCCGGCTGCTATCTGTATAGGCACGGCGTGCACTTCACGTGAACGTGATCGAGTCGCTCGGCCGATTCAGAGCACGTTCCTTATCAAACGGCAGACTGAAGCAATGGGCTGTCACTCAATTAGACTGGGAGAGATTTATGGCCGCCATTCCGCCTTTGCCAGCTTTATGGCGGAGTCATATTTGCCTGGCCATTATATCACCATTAGTATGCCATTATTATTATCGGCTATCAGCGCCAGCTCCAGCTCCAGCTCCACACGGCTCCACATTTTTGACTCTCATCATTTTCCCTTTATCGAAGCGATCTCTGATAATCTTTAAATGTATTATGATCCAACAAAGTCAGAGCACTGACAACAACAGTTGACAGCTCAGCAGGCAAAAAATAATTTGCTTTTCGTGATTTCACCATTTGGGAATTTGCCAACGCCATAAGTTAACACAAATGTTTTTTCTTTCAACTTTTGTATATGAATCTCAATGAGTGTCCAACGTATGAAAGCTTGAAGAGAAAGAAATGTTATGTCGACTTACTTAAGGCTTTGCTTGGTGCGTTTCCTCTACATCATACAGCTAAGGGCTTTATTTCTTGACTGAAGCTTAAAAGCTTTGCTTTTACGTTCTTCCTTTCTTTCTGCTCACTTAACGTCTACAAGTTCAGCAGCTCGAGTTCGCTGCTTTGAGTCTCCGTTTACTTCTCTTGTTATAAGAAGCTTAAAGCTCAAATGTGCTTAAAGCTTCTATCCTGCATTACATCCACTTGCTCCAGTTCCTCTTCCTTCATTTCCCACTCTTTAGATGATATTTTTGTAATTATGATTGGTTCGTTCTCTTAAAATTGCAATCTTCTATATATTTATTCACTCGTTAAGCTCTTGGAAGTCGGCATCTTCAGCCATCTATAGTATATACATATATCTAATCAGCAGCAGATAGAATGGGCTCCAAATTGCGTTGTTCTATTAGCTAATATATCTATTCTATCAATGTCAACTCTCGCTCTATGGTTTTTAAACATTGCTAATTAGTTTTCTGCTGCTCCACAACAGTTTATAAAGCCTTCTTGTGGCTTGAAACTATTTGTACTTAACTCTGCTAATTATCAACTCTTACGGCACTTAATGATAGCTAATTCCATTCGACACGTTGGCTATATCAAAGTTTTCCTTTAATCTGTGCTGTAATATAACTACGCAATCATTTGATGATTTGCCTTGTGTTGCCTGCTTTACTGTAGCTCTTAAAGCGCTGTAATACCTTCGTAACGCCATACGCCGATAATCTGGGAAACAGGGTGCCTCAAAACATGCTCGACCGATGTGAAGAGCTTTCATATCTATAAATAAAACTGATTCTTTAATAAATTATTGGCTGTCGGCCATTGTTTTACAATATTTGTTGAGCTGATAATTTGCGGTATTCACTTCAAGTGGAACCAATCAATGTGGGATATAAATCTCTGTTGATAAAGCTGCGTCCTCTTTAAAAAATTACCTTATCCCAAACACACGCCTTTTTTTCAAAATTAATAAGTAAAATTGTTGCAATCGAGCGTGAACGACTACCTAATACCGGGTCACGTTCCGAAAACAGTTAACTTTATTCCGGATTTCCTTCAGTTCACTTGGTGAATCATATAATTTACAGAATATTTTGGCTAAGATCGTCAAATATTAATGTATTAATAATATATTAATATATTAATAATAATAATGCGTCTATGCATTATTATTATTAATATATTAATATATTATTAATACATTAATATTTGACGATCTTAGCCAAAATAGTCTGAACTATATAGTTTTAACTATTGTCACTCACCAGAAGGCATAGATATCGATCTTGAAAGGGGTTAAGGGGTTAATAGTTAACTATCATATCTTAGGTCAAGAGAAAGACAATTATGAAATTTGAATTTTATACCTCAAATACTGAAGAATATATTATAGCTTCAATAGCGGCAAGACGAACATTGCACAAAACCAATAAACCCATTTCACTTCATGAACGAGCATAAAAATCGCTGTTTACTTTATCAATAGGCCGGAGACATCGAAACAGCAACGAAATTAATTGCGTCAAGCGACGGGCCCATTGGATGATTAAATCGTCATTACGACTATTCAAAAATAAAATGTCTATAGGCATCTAAGAGTGGGCCGCAGTTCTACGTGCGTACATATAGGCCCAATGCATGATTACAAGTTGCCATAACTTGATTTCATTTTAATTCAATGTCGTCACCAGGAGGAGACAGCCCCGTGCCCCAACTTATAGCCAATTAAACTTATCGTATTTGACACAAATATTATAAAGCTGTTTTCATCGGGCAAACAACTTAACTAACTGCGAAGTTACCTTCAAGAAGGCCACTTAAGCGGGATATCTGCGAATATTCCCTAGTGCGTAGGTCCAACAAATGACTAGAAATTATCGTAACATATGTATATATAAAATAAAATGATATATAAAATAAAATTTGTTATACACAAATAATAAAGTAAAACGCCTCAATATGTGGGCTAACTTAAATCTAATTTTAGACTAAAAGATCTTTAATTGTTGATGAGATGTTGGCTCTATATCCAAATCCTAACTAGCATAAGACTTGAACTACTTTAACAGATATTAAATTTGATATGTTTTCCATAACTTTAGATTTAAGATGCAACTTGACTTTTACTTGTATAGCTCTTCATGGATCTATTGAAACACTAAATCTCGCAAAAAGCTCAAATGGAGCTTTTTCTTTTGATAGCCTAATCCTAATCTAGATCAACTCGTTTGACATGGGCAAGGGCCGATTATATTTCTGTGAAATACGAGACTCAATAAATAATTACTACCTGTGCGATAATATTCACATTGATTTAGTTAAGTAGCCAAAGAGTTATATATAATATTTGCACTTCTGACTGTATACCCCATCCTCTAACGGTTCTTGAGATTGCCAGACAGCTTATAGTCGATGCAGCCTTGTTGCCTGGCAAAAATGTTTCGCCTGGAAGTAGATGTGGCAGGCAGCTTAATACGATTGCACAATAAAAGAATCACGTGACTCTACTCGTGTCCATTCATGAAGTCCAAATCGGGAGTTCAATTTTTAACAGCTCTGCTACTATTTGGAAATTACGCGTTTTTATTGCACGTTTATGGCGCTAAATCCGTTTTATATTATCTTTAAATAGGTGCAAGTTTCGCTCAATGCCAACCTACCTACGGTCAGCTTGTTTTGCCTTTTATTGACCTGAAAGCTTATCGCTTGTCGCTTTATAACTGTAAATACCAAAGATGTTGTACATACGTCTCAAGAATGCTATACGTGGATCATGTCGTTTAATTGTAGCGTGCAATTCGGTTGGCCGTCAATATGCGAATTTACTATGTAAATGTGTTTACAGTTAACTGTAAATATTGTAAAAGATGTCATACAAAAGGCTTAACCTTGCTTATCAGACGGGATGCGCACGCAGTTGCGTAGTCTCCCCCGCTGTCGGCAGACGTTCAACGAACGTTCTCAACTTTAGAATGTGCTCGTACGAGCACGTGACATCTACCAAGGCGGAGAGAAGGAAAGCGAATTCGGGAGAGAGCAAACCGAGTTGAAGCTTGCATGCAACCGGTTCAGCTTCAGTTGTTTTTCTTTCACACTTACATTTGCAAACGAAGTCATACCAAAGCAACAGCAAGAGTAAGCTAAGCTCACGTGCAATTCGCCTTAAGCTGGAGTCTGAGCGTGCGACAGAGTCAGAGATAGAGAGACAGTGAGAGAGAAGCAGAGACGTGGACAGCGTGAATGGTGACAGTTAAAGCTTCGTTTGCGGCAATCGTCGTAGGCACTAAAAACATCATTTAATAGTTTATAACGCGACCGCCAATAAACACTGTCATTATCACCATAACTGCTATCCGCAAACACGAAGTGCTTTCGTTAGCTGTTCGGTCGAGTTCGGGTGGCTGCGCTGATGAATCAAGCTAACACAGCGACGTCTTTTTTTGATAGCCACCTCCCACCTGCGCCTCTGTTTTAATGCGACCGAAAGGCAAACAGAAACAGAATTATAAAAACGTTCAATTAGCTCAGGTAGTAAGTCATTACAGCGCTTGTGCTCGGCCAGGCCGGTTCTCTCTGTCATTAACGGCAACAGCGACGCAGCTGCAGCAACTCCCAATCAGTCCCCGGCAAATAAGAAAGTTATAGCGTAAGCGCGTGATCTCGAAATATATTTTACAATTACAAAAAGTTTATTGTGCTGCCTGTTGGAAACCCAAAAATCGTGAGTGACACTTTTTCTATAAGTTTAAAATAAAAACCGAGAACTAAATTGTTTACACATACACATTTCTGCAACGTAGCAAACGCTATTTGCATTGTTTTTTACGAAGTTTTAGTTCGGTCTCTGTTTTTGTCCGCTAATTCGCTGCGGCCAACTCTAATTCGCCGCCTGCGCAGCGCAGCGTATAAGAAATATGAAAAGTAAATGAAAAGCACAAGATAAAAACAAAAAATGAAACAGCTGATGCTGAACTGATTTAAATAGTTGATTTGTTTGGCACGTATCGCAAAAGGTGAGCGAGTTTTTAAGCTCCAATTCACATTATTTGCAATTAACTAATTACGTACATTATGCAAATTCGCGGAATTTTTAGATAGCAGACGAAATGCCAAGAACAGCTGAGCAACTGTTAAATAACATTGGCGAATGTTAAATAACATTGAACTGCAATTAAGCCGAGTCTTCGTAGTAGTCGCCTTCGCTCTTGCTCCCGCCTGCTATCTTATGCCGCGCATGTTAAAGAGCTCATCAAGTCCTTTGCATGGTTATCAATAATTAATGTTAATCGTATGCAATTAATTGCCCAGTTCCTGGCAGTCAGTTAATTAATGTCCATTTGTAAGCCTCATTCAAGTGAAAAACAATTCAACTGGTTTTAGGCCATATACCAAGTCAAGTGCAATGCGCTGGAATCTCAATGTAAGAGCATTGGCTCAGAAAACGTTAACAAGTCGATTCCGCTCGATAAGCTAATCAAATACGCACACTCCAAAGTCAAAAAGTTCCCACTGTGCTAAGAAAACAAATAGCAATATAACAAAAGAAATGTACTCGCACAATCAACACTCCACAATACCCTATCGCACAATGGGTCGCATCTAGAGCCAGTCAGTCGAGACGAATGTGTTCTCCCTCGGCCTTTAACTGTGTGTGTCTCTCTCCCTCTGGCGCTCTTAACGCTTGAACTTCAAAGCTGGCGCCATCTCAAACAACCTCACATAGTGAAATAGAAAACGAGCATAGCAAAAAGTGCGCGCAATTATCGTGCGAATAAGTTGCGAGAATTCAAATAAAATAGAAATTTGACTCATTTACATTTAAGATTAGCTGACAGTGACACTCGACAGAGAGAGTGAGCGAGATAGGTATTGCAAATTGCTGCACGTGAAGCGCATTTTGATGCGAAATTCAGTTTTTTTTATATTTTGAAGCACATGTGGAAAATTTTGAAGTTTTATAAACAGGGGCCATAAGCATTAACGGTTATTGACAGTCTGACGTATATAAATGACGAGTTGACGCAGCACAAAAATTTACACTAGTATAAGAAATAAAACTGGAAGACCCGTTTATAGGGTTGCGATAAATCTTGATGGGTTTATAATACGAAAGAAACAGCCTCGTAAAATATACTGTGCACACTTTATGAGCTGAATTAGGGAAATTTTTTATCAGATTTGAAATTTAGTAGGAACCTCAATTAAGGCGAGAATTTGATTTTGAAATTAAAGAGAAAATGAACGTTTATTAAAAGAGAGCAAAAAATGTTAGAATATAAATTTCGCAAAATTATGATCAAATGAAAGAATAAATAATTTGCAATTCTAATATAATCTGGAAAATGCATATATTTATATAAATATAATATATTCATTGAAAATCAGTTATATCAGACATGCATATTCTATAAGTTCTTTGAATTTCCCAAGTGTTACACGATTGCCAAGTGGGAAAACAGTGAAGTTCTTACATCCGTTGGGTAGTGCTCGTGCTTAATTTCGAGGCACGAGTGCGTCAGTTCAATTCAGATAAGTGCGTTTAATTTACGACCAGTTGATAGGGCAGCACTGCGCCTTGACAACTTCCATTATTAATAATATTAAGATTAGGTAATATTTTAGCAGTTCATTTTTTTTTTTTTTTTGGTTATTGAACAGATTGTAACGTGTCTATAAATCCATCAGAGGGTTATTCGCAATATGTTTCTAGTACCTGGCAACTGGTCAGCTATCACTCTTAATAACAAAAAATAGCACTCATAAATATTTTTATGATGGTTCCTATCTATAAAAAAGAAAGAATAAGAAAAATATTGAAACGAATTCAAAACACTTCAGGCACACGCTCTTCAGCTTTGACAAAGTTGTTCAATTGTTTCCTATTGGCCATAAATTGAATAAAACAATTTCTTTCAAATGCTTCAACGTTTTATTGAGTGGCTTACTGTTAAAGCAATAACTTTTATTTATCACCTGCAAACGATTACAGGTTCCGCACTTCGTTTTACATATATAGAAAAGCGCGCTGATTGCTGCCTACAGCTGCCTTATATTCATTATACGAACTCGTGTACTTATTTCTAGCTATTTTCTATTTTCAAGCCCGTTTTTTCGATGCATATCAAGGGCTTATTAAATAAATACACATTATACAAAGCCCAAGTCCGACTGTCAACTAAATTACACTGGACTGCAAAAAGCGTCATCTATTAACATGTCATAGCTCTTGAGTAAACCCTATTTTGAAATCAATTATGAACACAATATATTAATAATTGGACTGTTTCTCAAAAAACCAGTTGCAATTAGCTATAGAGTTTATGATAAACTAAAAGTTGACCTCCACAGCTCGAGTGATAATTGCCTCGTAAATTGAAAAGGTGTGAACCATATAGTATATACATATGTAAATATTTTAAATATTGTAAAACAGTTTAACGAAATGCTTTAAAGTTCTCCTTGTTTTACTCCAAAGAGAAACTAGTTGACAAATCTTCGAGTAGCTGCGCTTCAAATAGACTTATTTACGGTCCGAGTGTTATATTCATCATCGGCGTTTAACAGCTTCGAAATATGCAAAATCATTCGACATCTGATTTTATTTTGATTTATTTTAAGATCAACAGCGAAATACGCTAATTGCTCTAACTGACAACTATTTTGTTGACAAAAAAGTCGGTACAATTCAAATACTATTGGCTTATAATAAGTAGATGGTCCCGCAAAATGGAAATATATAATCAAATATTAAAAAAGATGTTGATTTTAATAGGATTATCTAATCTAATGATCATATGTAAGAGAAGAAGTGAGTGAAGTTGTTGAAGAAATTTTGAAACCGATCTTTAGAGAATCGAAATGCCAAAGAAGAAATCAGAAGAACACAAATCGAAATATTGAAGAACAAATGTTTTCTTTTATGAACTGAAACATTGTTGAAAGAGCAGATCTGTAGAATGAAAATCGGGGATTTTGAGGTTAGCCAGTATTATGGTTGATTTCAAGCGATATTGCGAGACGCTTTTGCTTTGTATTTTATCAATATTCTTGGAAATCTTTTGCTGAAAAACAATAACCACAACGAGGTAAACAAATCATGAAACAAACAAACAAACAAAGCACTGTTCAGGTTTCAGTCGCCGAACTCAAACCTTCGGCTCAAACTCAGCTTCATTTGACTTGCGATACTTTCTAAAATCCAATTTCGAGCTGTTGTGAGGCGAAAAAAAATACTAATTGAAATTCCAATCGAGATTCCACTCAATATAATTCCATAGAATTGGACACCTACAGAAGTCGCATGATAATTGATTTACCTAATGAAATTTGTGCAAAATCGTAACCAGTTTATATTTGTTTATATATGTAAATCATTATATCGTTTGTGTTTTTTTGGGCCTACAGAGAAATTCGTTGTAATGAGTTATGGAGCGATCAACAAATTACATCATCAGCTGGGGATTGTAGTTCGAAAGCACGAAAACAGCTGAGTTAATGACTTATTATTTGGCATATATATATATATATAAATATATATATGTATATATATGAGTTGTAAGAGATAGACAAACTGGAGCTATATACATCAAATAATAATGTAAATTTACCAGAGTTTTTGATCGTTGGCTAGACTCGAGCAAATATTGAGTCAGCTGACAATTAGATATAGAATTTATTAGATGCACAACTGTACCACAGAAAATCGAAAATTCTATAAGAGTTGAATTCAATGTCGCATATTTATCTATCTAAGCTATTTAAATAATAAAAAAGACCCCCACGCAGCAATTTTTGGCAACTCATTGCAAATATTTGACAGAGAAAAATATATTTGTGAAGCTCATCAAAAATATAGAAACGTGCGTAGGGAGATCTGAAATCGTGCGGCTGCTTTTCGCGTTTACTCGAGCAATTAATGCCAATGATTCGCAATCGACAATTTATCGAACTAATTTGCTATGTTTGCTCTGATCTACACTGCTTACAGATTAACGTGTCTGGATCACTGGATCGGCCGACGAGACGCATGCGCAGACAATAACCACAACCAAACAACACAATACAAAACAAAAATTAAACGTGCAAACAGACGTAGAGACATCTCACTCACTATCTCTGCTCTCTTTCTCTGCTTCTCTGTCGCTGTCTCTGTCTCTGGCTTTGACTCTGTCCCCATCTCCGGCTCTGACTGCGGCTCATTTAAAGGCAACGCGTCTTGCCGTTAATCGTTCAGAACATTTCAAGCTGCGCGAGTGAACGAACTAGCTAAATTAACCGCAAAAGTAACAATAACAAAAACAAGTCCAAAAACAACGACAATAAAAGTAATAATATTATTAAGTGCCTTACGAAAATGTCTTAAAAAACAAGCCAAGCGACGTGCTTGACCAGAGCTAAAACACTGTTCTACTTTTGCAACGCTCTCGACTGCATTTTTCAGTGCAAGTCGCGTCAAAACCGCCAAGAGACTGTACTAGATTAACATAAATAAAATATATATATATTTAGTAAATATATATATATTAAGTAATATACAAACACACAATGTCTGCATCGAAGGAAGCCATTTGCTCGAGCTCCGAAAAGGAGCCCGAAAAGCCACAGCTGGGTAAGTTTCACATGATATTCCGTGTATAATTAAGATTAGATACCATCTCGACGTCTATTAACTGAAACTGTTTCTTAAGTATAATAATCAGAGATAATATAAGTATTACTGTATTCTTAATTTCTGGCTTGTAGTGTCGCAAGTAGAGCTGAGTTGACTTGATTCAAGTGCTAAAATCTACTTCTACACATTCAGTGTGAAACCTTTGTCAGTTACAGCAAATTTAGCTTGGCCCACTTTCAGAGAGGTTCTCTTTTTTATATTGATATCCTAGGAGCCTTTATAAATCACAGCTAAAAATCATTTTGTTAGTGTTTTGGAATGCCAAAGTTTCACGAAGGCCTTAAAGCATATGTAAAGCAATACAATTTGAATTTGACTCGAAAAACTTTCTTTTATTAAATTTTATATAACAAGATATAAAGTATAAATATTTAATACATATATATAAATTTATATATATATAATATAAGTATTATATAAGAGTCTAACTTATTATATCCTCTAGACTTATCTCAACTTGCGAAGTTATTTTTTGCGGTGTAGTCATGTGTGCAGTTACTAGTAGTTCAATTCCTCATAGAAGTGCCCATCAGATCTTATAAATAATGTTAATAGATTATAACTTTGAGGGAGAAAAAAAGTCCCCGCAGATGAGTTGATAGTCAGGCATAAGTGAGAACGCCGCGCAATTGTTATATAAAGTTAAATGTTTATTAAGATGGGCTTAGGGCGCAATTCTTGATCAACTGAGTCGTGCCAGAGGGAATTGTAATGTGAATGTGAATGTGAATGTGAATTAAGCGCACTTGAGGCTGATTAAATTAGATAGGCTCTTCAGCTTCAGCTAATTCCGTCTGATTTGCATAATACAATCAGCCCCGGCTCGTCTCTCCGGGTGCTCCACGAAACGGAAGTTATTTGTTATGCAGTGCCTCGCACATTTTTTTAAGATTCACAAAAATAAGTATACAAATAAATAAATTGTCACAACGAGACGAGGCTTTATTGCTGCCGCCAACGCGTGAGCCAAATTCACAATTCACAATGAACGTGAGGCGGGGGAGTACGTAACCCAAGCGGTATTCAAAAAGTGAAGCCCCAAATAGTTGTTGACACAAAATGTGAGCCTCAGCTGTTTGTCTCAATTTCCCCCATTTGTTTGTCTGCTTATGGTCTGCGCTCGATTGTCTTCCTACATCGCCATAGCTGCGATGCGCGATCTTTTGACACAGTTTATAGATCAGTTCCCCCTTATCCATTTTTGGCGAGGGGAGCTCAATGGCTGTCCGTGGAAACCGGTTACCGGCAATGCGCTTCGATCTGCCCAAAAAAAAAATAAAAACAAAAATAAACGTTTATACGTGATATTAAAGATATGCAAATGAATTGCAGCAGCAATGAAATGAGCAAAATATCAACAATTAATGAAACTAGTTTCTTTTAAGCGCAAACCAGTCAAGTGTTAAGGTCAAGATCAATTGAGGAAATTTGCTAAGCAGTGTCAAGAACCTTGGCATTCCCCAACGCTCTTAAGAGCTCTTTTTGCTCACTTTCATTTGCCAGAGTGAAAGGGGGCGTTGCGATTAGCTAACAGCTAAATTGATCCACTGCCTGACTAAGCGATACCCTGTAGAACGTGGTGACTGTCAACGCCAAAGCCAAGTGTTTTCATGCAAATCAGTTCTCTTCTTAAGTGTTTCTCATTAATCATTGTACATTTATTTTAATTAATTAACGCACAAGTATTTCACTATTTTTAAGCACTTGCTCTGCGACCACAAACTTAGCTATCAACAAAAATGCAGCTGTTTACCTCTTATAGCTCCTAAGGCACGTTCATTACTGATCAATTAAGCAGTCAGCAGAGTAAAGAAATGAATTAAGCTATTTATTTACTTGCTCCTATTGAAAATTCATTGATTCTTCTATTTATCTACATGAAGTTGATTGCAATTGATCAAGCGAAAAGTGAAAGCACATTAATTAAAAGTAAAAGTTAGTGAGATGCACTATATATAATACTAACTGTTATATCTGTGCAGCGTGTGGGTTGGAAAAGAATGTGTCGACCCAGCACAGCCGTCGTACAGGGTATATTTTGGTGCATTTTCTTCTTTGACCGCAGAGCGTGGCGTTTGGCAGCTTGACAAACTTCGAGATGATGTCGCGAGCTTTTTGGCCCCGGCACTCGACATTGCATTTTGATCAGATTTTCTTGATCAGTTGAATTCGTCATTTCGCATGTCGACTTTCATTATATGATTCGTATTGAAATAGGGCAGGTTTCTGGGAGCCGTTGCAACGGCGCTCGCAAGTGCGCGTTAATTATCACACTCGCCCACACGGTAATACATATATTTATGTATATATATTACCCACATATTTGTATTTGTACAGTGCCTGGATAAACTGTTGCACTATATTGTGCAATTCTTGACGATTGTTCTTAACGAGCGTCTTTGTAATGCAATCTACGGCTGAGGCATTCCACTTAAATTGAAAAATTGTCGCTTAAAGATTTTACGACTGAGCTGTCACGTTCAATCGAATTGAAGCGGGCGGGGAAAGACAAAAAGTCACTTAACATAACTTAACTTTTATTTTATGATTATAAAATCGAGCAGCTTTTTCGACTCTTTCGGCGAAAATTAGTCATGTTCCTGATATTTATATACACAAATATATATAATTACATGTAAGTTCAATTTAGCAAAGCCGCAAATAGCGCAAAAGGCATTGAATGAATGAAGCGACACACCTGATAAATCGAAATTACTTAAGCGTAGAACAATTTTTTTGGCGTCCACTGTAGTTCAGCTAAAACGGAAACAATTGAAACGATACAAAGCACAGATATAGCCCCTCTATGATGAACGAATTGGAATTAATTTTGAGCTTTTCACTAATTATTTTATTTTATTTTTTTGCTGTCAGATGAGATCATCAAATTGGCCTGCTTAGGCCACAAAGGGCGCCACACAAGTCAGCTAAGTGTGCCTGGCCTCTGTAAGCTCGTCTTAAGTATTTGCAAATATATAATATAAATATATATAAAAATATATATTTGCCCAACATTTTTGCACCTGTCACGAAAACCTATGCTTGACACCAGTTGTTAATTTCAGTTTATGACATTCAAAAAACTCATATAAACAAGTTGCCCAAACAATATAAAATATTAAAAACAAATAACAAAGCTAATGTGTTGTCGCGCAAAAGTTCCCCAGACGATCATTCCATTTCATTGTTGTATAAAAATACTTAACTTCAAAAAGTCGCAAATCTGAACAGATTGTCATATAATTGCGGCGAGAATCAATAATATCACAATATCAAATGAAGCAGAGTAAACATATGGAAACATTACAGATAAACGAGACGATAAGCCTACGTTAAAAGCTTACGTAATTCGGCGATTACGTTCCAGCCATTACATCAACCGCCGTAAAGTATGCAACAGCTTTTGGGTAGAGAACTGGCTCGAAAGCTTTAAGCTTTTGGCTCTATTTCATGGTTCACGTGCTGCTTACTCTTAATGACTGTTATTAAATAATTGTGCTCACAATTTCTGTTGTTGTCAGTTGCTGTCGCATGCTTTGTTAATGACACGGAAGTAGAACAAATGCAGCTGCTATTTTTATGATTTTCGCGTTTGTGCTCTTTTTGACTAATTGTTTATTGCTTGACTGTACCTGCCAACAAATATTTCCATTTGAGGTTTTGCCAAAAAAGAAAAAGAAATAAAAAAAGCTGACATCACATGAGCATCGCGTGTCAAGGTTCTTCTATCTTTCTCTTTCTCTCGCTCACTCTTTCTACATCTCTCTCGACTTGTTGCCTGTGCCATGAAGACAATAACAATAACAATAACAATTGCCCACATTTCCAGTTTGTGCACAATCGAGACGAATTTTTATTGGGCTACACCAACCTGACCATAGTCCAGTTGAACTGAGCAGCTCATTCGGTAGTCGACTTGAGCCGCTCTCTTGCTCTTGGCTTCACATTCTCTCTCTCTATCCCTCTTTTTCGCTTGAGGCGAAACGTTCGAGAATCAGGCGACAAACACGTGCACTCGCCGCATGCCGGCAAAGTTTCTCGTCTACCGCTTGAAGCTGACTCGAGACTTCGAAAACAACATGTGGTTTGGATTTTTTATGACTTGGCTGTGTATAAGCGTGTTTGAGTGAGTGTGCGGTCGTGCCATGACTGTTCGTTTAATGGGGTATATGCACTAACAGATAAATATACTTTTGTTAAAATTTATTGCAGGTAAATAGTAAAAAATAGATAAAGGAAATGTTACATAAGAAATTCAAGAGAAAAAGATAAATTTGAAACTGATTTCATAATTTAAATAAGATAAATTTTATGAGTTTTAGCAATCATTTAAGCATATTCTTGATATAAGTGCACTTTTTTCTTCATTTAATATAAATAAATATTTAGTTACATACAAATTTTGAATAAGATTCTAGAAACATATTGTCAACAGTTTATCAACGATCATAAAATTGAATTCTTGAATTTCACACTGAATTCGTTTGTCGTTGCAAGCTGTTTTAGTAAACGTTTTAGTTTTTAGCTTAACTATTTTTTTGCGCATTTCTCCAAATTAGCAAGCACCTGACAATGAATGCAATGAATTGTGATTTTATAATGGGTACACGGAGCGCCTAATAGGCGATTAGAGAGGGGAAAGCAAGGGCACTGCTGTGGGTACCATTTAGCGGCACTTAGCACACACCCTGTAAAAACACAAAAACCAATCCCCCTTCTTGACACTTGGCGCCAGTAGCTGCCCCCAAGTCGCATGCCGCTGCCTTGCTGCGGCTCTTATTTCTAAGGTTTCCATACTTGAAGCATTTTTCCCAATAATTTCTTACTACATACGTGTATGTATATGCGTATATATACATCTATTATGTATGTCCAAAGTCTGGTCGCGCATTTGGCAAATAACATTTGGTTTTGGCATAACTCGAGTTAGTTCTTGTCGAGTTTTGCTTCAGGCATCACGAGATGCTGACGTCTAGCAGTTAAAAATAGATCTTCTTGGCGTATTATATATAAAGCAATTGACATCAATCGAGTTAGGTTCAACAGCTGATGATTCAGTTTTAGGCTGACATATGCTTGGACCATACCTCCCTTAGCAAATGGTTGATGTAATCGTGGCGCCTCTCTCCCACTCTCACACTCTCTCCCTCTCTCTCTCTCTCTCTCTCTCTCTTTCCCTGTCTTTCACTCATTCTCTCAATCTGAGACGCTTGCGCCTCGGGCGTTCGGCGATTTCGGCCCCGTTTATTATATAGTCGGATAGCGCAACAGTTGGCGCTCAGTTGCCGCAAAGGCGCCCACAGAGTCAAGAGCCACGAGCCAAGAGCCAACAGCTGAACGCGAGCGCCGATTCCAAATTGGATTTGAACACTTCTGCCTGAGCTACAGCTCAGTCGCGTGTATACCTTCAGTCGAGTGCAACGCGCGTATCGCAAAAAGTTCATTTTTAATAAGCTCCATTTGTAATATCTTGACCCGCGACATGTTCAGGCCCGGCCCACTGCACAGATAGACAATGAAATGGTTTAAACGAGTGCGCAAAAAGTCTAAGGAAAACTAAAAAATCATTTGCAACAGCAGAAGCAACGGCAATAACAATTCGCGAATTTCGTTGAGAATTTTCGTCCAACACATCGCGAACTCGATTCGAATTTAGTTTAGTTTACATTAATTTATTTTTACAACTCGAAAACCTCAAGAGGCGGGCACAGGCAGACGGACGAGATGCCCTTTCGACGCAGCAAGCTCAATCATCGCCATCGCGATGGCCATGTCCTTGTCTGGGATCAAAATAATCTGCATGATAGACCCAAGGGTAAGCCTCAAGTTGCAATGTACAAAGTGCCATTTAAGTCACTTTGACACTAAGTATATTGGAAATTTGATTTACACCAACTAAAAGGCTTTCTCTACTTATTTTTTTACTTAGATTGAAAGAATAATAGTCGAAAACACGTCTAGGTATGGATGAAGTTGCAGATTTTTATTTAATTTACAATGAATGCATAGCCCTGAAAATATCTGAATAGATAGAATATATATATATATATATATATATCTGTTCTGTCTATAATATACAATGTTAATGTATTTAAGTATCGAAAAATGCTTAAAAATATATACAAGAAAATTAGTATAACTTAAGCAAGTAAATAAGAGAATATGTAAGGTTTCCTATCATTAAAGGGTATGCAAATGCGATGTACATACTCTTCCATTCCCCTGCTCTCGCGCTCTCTGCCAGCCGCACTCTCGCCGACTGCTAAGATCCGCACACGCAGCGTATGCGTTATATTTATAGCTAAAAGCTTATTCATTTCGCCCATTTTAGAGCATGTATCGGGAATAGTCGGGGCATGCACGAGTCGCTGGTTGCCCTGTGCTGACGCGCGACTCACACGTGCTGCATATACCGTACTGATTGTGCAACATGCGAGAGAGAGAGAGAGAGTGAGAGGTTGGGCAGAGACTGTTTTGACAAATCGCGCGATTTAACGCTGCGTGCGCACAAAAAAAAACGCAAACGAATACAATTATTTTCTTTATAGACTCTGCTTATTTTTGCTTTTTCCGATTCAGCAAATGTGTAGCTCGAATTTTCCACAGTACTCTATATCATATTTTGTGGAAAAATGTTGTTGGGTGGAAATAAACGCAACACAGAACAATTCGAAACATAAGCACAAACTTATCGGTCTGTTGAGCTAGCTACAAACAAAAGCGGGGAAAAAAACTGAATGGCTGAAAGTTCAAATTCCATTTGCCAAGCTGGTTGAGCATTTAGGAAATACAGTTGTGCCTTCCAAACTCAACTTGAACTCTAGAATGTACAATAGGAAACGATTTGTGATAAGTCCCAACGGCCAAGCGACCAAAAGTTTGCTTAGCCAGGAAATTAAGTATCACGTGTTGTCCGCCCGTGCGAGGCGACAATCGGCTCTGTTGTCGTATGACACTGCAAAAGTAAACAGGCAATCAGTTCTATGTATATTTAGTATCGGAAAACAACAACAGTAACAGAAATAACAATAATAATTATGAATCGCTCGGGCCAGGTCTACAAATAGCTCGCAGCAACGTCTCGAATTTCGAAAGGTTTTTTTTATAGCTGGAAACGTGAGGTAATTAAAACGGTCCAGCAGTCTGCGACACATCTGCTTGGCATTGAGTCATGGATATACTATATGCAATCTTATCTGATCTGTATGCTACTTATCTCATTATTATCTCATAGCTGAGACCTCGTTTTCAAACTGTTTATACCCTGTGTACATGTTTAACTATGGGCTTAATAGAATCGTTCTGACTTTGCGGCAATAATTGAAATAGCTATATGATAATCTATATAAAAATTAGCATTTTACAGGTCATCTTTAAGTCGATCATTCTTTTTTTTGTGACGCATTTCTATTAATCTGAGAATTTAGTATTTGTGTTTATTTGCTTTGTTTACTCATATCCGTTGCAAGTTCGTTAAGATCTTTGCACAAACAAGTGCCGACAGACTTTGCGATTTAATTGGCCGTAATTAAACGTTTATTCGGATGAATCGAATGACTCTCTTAGAGGTTTACTATATGTTGGCTCTCTTATACTTTGCAGGCTGGGCAACCACTCGCTACTTTGTTACATTCATGCTCTTCCTGGGCATGGCCAATGCGTACGTGATGCGAACCAACATGTCGGTGGCTATTGTGGCTATGGTGAACCACACGGCTATTCAGAAGGGTGAAGAGGTGCTGGACGATGAGTGCGGCGATCGTGAATTGGAAGTTGTAAGTTGATCGACTATAATGCTATAACTAGTTTGCTAAGCTCTCTTTTCCTCTTCTTCTCCCTTACTCCCTCAGGACAATGGTGAAGACGGAGAGTTCGTATGGAGCTCCAGCCTGCAGGGCTACATACTGTCCTCCTTCTTCTATGGCTATGTGATCACACAGATTCCTTTTGGCATATTGGCCAAGAAATATGGTGCTATGCGCTTCCTCGGCTGGGGCATGCTCATCAACTCAGTGTTTGCCTTCCTGGTGCCTGTGGCTGCTCGCGAGGGCGGCGTCTATGGCTTGTGCGCTGTGCGCTTCATCCAGGGTCTGGGCGAGGGTCCCATTGTGCCCTGCACTCACGCTCTGCTAGCCAAGTGGATACCGCCCAATGAACGCTCTCGCATGGGAGCTGCGGTCTACGCAGGCGCTCAATTTGGTACGATTATCTCGATGCCGTTGTCTGGTCTGCTGGCTGAATATGGCTTCTCCGGCGGCTGGCCGTCAATCTTCTATGTGTTTGGCGTGGTGGGCACACTGTGGTCTATTGCCTTTCTCATTCTTGTCTTTGAGGATCCCACGTCGCATCCACGCATCGATGAACGTGAGAAGCGCTACATCAACGATTCCCTATGGGGCACGGATGTGATCAAGGTACGCGACGGCTTTAGCCAGCCAATTCAAGCAGGTAGCTAACGTGTTTTCTCCACTTCAGAGCCCGCCCATTCCGTTCAAGTCCATCATGAAGTCGCTGCCCTTCTACGCGATTCTCTTCGCTCACATGGGCCACAACTATGGCTACGAGACACTGATGACGGAGCTGCCCACCTACATGAAGCAGGTGCTGCGTTTCTCTTTGAAGTCCAACGGTTTGCTCAGCTCTCTGCCCTACCTGGCCATGTGGCTCTTCTCCATGTTCATTTCGGTGATTGCGGACTGGTTGATCAGCACGAACCGCTTCTCGCTGACGGCCACGAGAAAGATCATCAACAGCATTGGCCAGTACGGACCTGGCCTGGCTCTAATTGCCGCGTCCTACACGGGCTGTGATCGTGCCTTGACTCTGGCTATACTCACAATTGGCGTTGGTCTTAATGGCGGCATCTACTCGGGCTTCAAGATCAATCACTTGGATCTGACGCCACGCTTCGCGGGCTTCCTCATGGCCATCACGAACTGCTTAGCTAATCTGGCGGGTCTGCTGGCCCCTATAGCTGCGGGCAATCTGATCAATGATAAGGTGAGTAAATAAAACTTCAATTTATAAGAATTCGAATAACTCTGAGCTCTGCTCCCTGCTTAGCCTACGATGGGACAGTGGCAGATTGTCTTCTTCATTGCCGCGTTTGTTTACATCATTTGCGGCACCTTCTACAACATCTTTGGCTCCGGCGAGCGTCAGTTCTGGGACAATCCCGACAACGATGAGCAGAAACCAAGCCTGGGCAGCAGCAGCCCGAACCCTGCAACGACTATCGGAAGGCTGAGCAATGGCAATTCAGCGCCGCTGGCCATTACTGCCAGCGAGTCAAGGCAGTAATTACCATTACACTACACTACACTACACTACACACCAGCTAGTTTAAGTCATTATTTTAGTTAATTATACTCTAAGCCAAAAGTTGTTGTTACCGCATTAGAATTGCCCTAAGCCTTAGAGTCCAAGCAGCGGCGTATAGAAAGACAATAACCATCAGTTGTCCACAAAATTTAAATACAATTTCAAATCTGAGCACAAAGTAATTCAAGTCACATTTCGTTTGTAAACAATTTTTGGCAGTGCAGTGCCTGAGACGGGTATTCAGTTGTCTACCATTTAAAATGCGTAGTTTTCTTATTGTGATAGCAAAGAGTTAAGTTTTTCTTTTTGTAAAATGTCAATTCAATTGAAGTGAGTTAAGTAAACAAATATTGTTAAACCATGAATAATGTACTATATACTTTTCTACACATCTATATATATATATATATATATATATATATATATATAAATATATATATATATATATATATATATATATTTATATATATATATATATATATGAGTCTGTATATGCAAACGATTCAACGTACAAGAAAAAAGACATTAAAAGTTTGCAAATAAAATTTACGACTGCTAAAAACCAAGCTAAAACTGTTTAGTATATTGATTGCAATCAGAGCCTGTAAATGCTCTGGTCATATTTCAAATCTGTTTCTTCCAATCAGCAGGAATAAAAAATAGAAGTGTCTCTAGAGGAGTTGTGATGGAAAGGTAAGTTCCACGAAAGTTAAAGCTTCTTAAAGGGCAGACAAAAGGGAAAAGAGTAAAAGAGAAGAGGCGAGAAGAGAATATAAAAAGTGGGAAAGTAGAGAAGAAAAGTAATAAGCTAAATACTAAATGGCTACAAAAATAAAGAAAAAAGAAGAGAACACAGAAAGAGTATGATGAGAGAAGAGAAGATAAGACGGGCACTAGCGAGGGTTCTAAAGACAGTGCAAGCTGCTTTTAAAGAGTATAAGTTGTTCGCAGACTTAAAGAGATCCCCTGGCGAATCGTCTAAAGAGTATTTAAAGCTGACTGCACCAGTCTTAGCAAGGATTCCCCAACATGTGTCCATATCGCTCGCACAGCGTTGCCAGCTTAGACACCTTTACCCACTGCAGAGCCACGCCCTACACTAATTCGATATTAATAATCAGTTGCTCCCATGTCAAATGCCTGCCACGCCCACACAAGCAGCATATAAAAGCGCGCACGTCGCTTGAAGTACACGAAGTACAGCTATTGCCAGTGCAACAATGGGCCACGAGGAGCAGCTAAGTCCGGAGCAAATCGATCCAAAGATTTCCGCCTTGCGTGGAGCCCTGAAGCGCACCTGGTGTGATTTCTGTGCGACGAGCAGCATACATGGCTTAAAGTACACACGTGATAAAGACACCAATCGTGTGGTGCACCTCATGTGGAAACTCATCTCAGTCGTGATGTTCATTTGCGCCATTGTCATGACGCATACCTTCTATGCGGACTATCGCAGCAGTCCGACTCGCATGAATGTGGAGAACGATCACACGCCCGTCAGCAAGCTCTACTTTCCGCCAATAACCATCTGTCCCGAGGTATTGTTCAACATGGACAAGTCCAAGGCGTACATCGAGTCGCTGTGGGTAAACCCATACGATACACTGCTTCTTTCATATAGATGGATATATTCTCCTGCTTTAGGAAGCTGCCGCAGGGTGTGCGAGCGTCGGACGTATTGGAGCACCTTCACATCTTTAGCGGTTTCATGCTGGACGATGCTCGCTTTTCTGCGACGGAGATTGAGCTAATGGAGTCCGTGCTGCTGCAGAATAATTTGAGCATGGTTCAGTTCGTGGAACAACTGCGCTGGGACTGCCACGAGATATTGCATCGTTGCCGCTATCATGGAGACATTATGAACTGCACGCGTTTGTTTCAGCTATCGAAAACGTTCTTTGGACACTGTTGCTCCTTTAACCTGCGACAGGACGGGTAGGTCCACAACATATATCCATGTGTCATATCTGTATTCTACCTGCCCATCAGGCTCAATTTCACTGCCCAAGCGGCCGCTGGGGGTCTGGACAATGGCCTATCCTTAATCCTGCGCTACAAGGACGAAAACTACGATGCCCTGAAATCCTATTCGCTTGGTTTCAAGCTGCTGATCCAGGAGACGGACGCCTTTCCCAGCGCCCATGCCGATTGCAAATTTCTGGGCCTCAACACCGAATCATTTGCCACGCTGCGCGTCGTGGAGACATTTTGCTCCGATGCTGTCAAGGCTCTACCCATAGCGCAGAGAAATTGCATCTTCAGACATGAGTTTGAGCTGCGCTACTTCCCCAACTATGTCTATCCCAACTGTGAGCTCAACTGTCGAGTCAACAACATGGACAGGCTGTGCGGCTGCCACACATATTTCTTCGAGTTCAACCGCACCAAGGACCGGGTATGCACATTTCGGGACATACCCTGCCTGGTCGATAATTTTCGTATGTATATGGATTACTCGCTTACATGGCTTATATATCTCATTCTATATCCATAAAGCCGACATCATAACACGCAAGAAGAAAACGCAGTGTCCGTGCCCTTTGACCTGTGAGCACTTTGACTACGATGTGCAAATCTCAAACTTTGAACTTATGCTCAATATGCCTGTTGTGGATCCCTTCTAGTAAGATTCTAGTATTCGCTTGATTGTCTGCCTGATCCTATGCTGACTATATATTTGCCTTTACAGCACGGGAATCGAGAAAAATGATGCTATTATTCATATATTCCTCAACTCTCAGGTCTATCGACGTGTGCGCGTCGACTTGCTATCAAATATGGTCACCCTAGTCTGTGAGTTAAGTTATCGATATCAGGTTAATGGGCTGAATTCTGAAGCCTTTCTATTTCAGCTAATCTGGGCAGTGCTTTTAGTTTGTTTGTGGGCATGAGCATGTTGTCTTTGGTGGAGATTATTTACTACTTCACAGTTATACTGCGCAAGAACTATATTCAGGAATGTCATGCACGTCAGAAGTTACAAAGCTGGCACAAGCGTCCAAACTTTGCCTGGCCACCTCACAAAAATAACATTCAGCAGAAATCTGTTTTTTATATCTCAGGTCGTAACTAATAAGCGTGCGATTGATAAGCGCTTCAAACCTCAGCCATATATTACAAGCCTTAAATAAAGCGTAATACAGAAGTGCAAATACTCTTTAGCAACTTATTTCAAAGCAACATTTTTTGGCTTCACATCATTTGACACGACTTAGCCACAATGTCGCTAGCTACACTTGGTGCACTGTTATCTAAATAATTCCAAAATGTCTAGCAACATTTGAGGTTAGCATCATTAGCTAAATGTTGAGCATTGCAACATTTAAGCTTTGCAGTAATTGTTAATCAGCTACATTTTAACCTTTGCAACATTTAGCTGAGCTTGGTAGCAATTGCCATATTGAGCTTTTTAGTGTTCCGCTGAGCTTTGCAACAACCGCCAGTCAGCTACACTTTCAGCCCTGGTTTTAGAACAACATCCACAAGGTGCCTATAAAAATGACAGTCTGAGCTCCAGCAATAACATTTAAGATTATACTAGTAAGAAGTTAGCAACATTTCATTTTCCTTTGAAACATTTCTTGTAGCGCAGCAACATGTTGATATAGTATTGTGATCTGACTGAGGACGCAGAACTACTGAATATCAGTCACTGAAAATGGATAATTGAGACTAATTAAAGATAAATTGAAATTGTGTGTTGATTGACGGCAATCACAGCTTTGAATAGAGTATATTCATTTTAACGTTGGCCGTGTCAAACTCAATAGATTGTAAATATAAATACAGTTAGCGTCGCTTCCCTGTCACGCATATCAGTATTTGTTATCTTTGCACATATTTTGGTTGCTTTTGACTCATGCCATTGGTCTAAGCCTATTACCATAGGTCAACATGACAGTTAGCTGCGGCCCTCATAAATTTGCGTAAAATTCGCCAATCGCCGGGCTGTAAATTGGCTCCACACGAAGCTTGCAAATCCCTGGTCAAGTGTTGATTAGATTAGGTTGCCTATATAAGAGGGGATCGTCGTGGCTTTTAGTAACAGTTATTGGCCATGCTTAAGTTGACATTAGTCTCCCTGTTGGCCACTTTGGCGCTGGCCCAGCACAACCCTCAGTGGTGGGGCAATCGCAACACCATCGTCCATCTCTTTGAATGGAAGTGGGCGGACATTGCGCAGGAGTGCGAGGACTTTCTCGCTCCCCATGGCTATGCCGGCGTGCAGGTGAGCCCCGTGGCCGAGAACATCATATCCGAGGGTCGGCCGTGGTGGGAACGCTACCAGCCCATTTCCTACAAGCTGATCACACGCTCCGGCAACGAGCTCGAGTTCGCCGACATGGTGCGTCGCTGCAACGACGTGGGCGTCCGTATCTATGTAGACGTGCTGCTCAATCACATGTCCGGCGATTGGGTAGGCACTGCCCGTGGCACAGGCGGCTCGGTGGCTGAACCCAGCCGCAAGTCCTTCCCGGGCGTGCCCTACACAGAGAAGGATTTCCATCCCAGCTGCGAGATCTACGACTGGAACGATCGCTTCCAAGTGCAGCAATGCGAGCTGGTTGGCCTCAAGGATCTGGATCAGAGCAGCGACTACGTGAGGAAGCAGCTCATTGAGGTGCTCGATCATCTGATCACACTCGGCGTCGCCGGCTTCCGCGTGGATGCGGCCAAGCACATGGCTGCCACGGACCTGGACGTAAGACTTAGCGTAATGGAGGCAGTGTCCAGGCCTAACTTGCCTTTCAGTATATTTACAGCAACACGCGCAACCTGAACACAGACCATGGCTTCCCCAACAATGCACGTCCCTTCATCTACCAGGAGGTCATCGATCATGGCCACGAGACTGTCTCGCGTGATGAGTATACGCCACTGGGAGCCGTCACCGAGTTCCGTTTCTCGGAGGAAATCGGCAAGGCTTTCCGCGGCAACAACGCGCTGAAATGGCTTTCGAGCTGGGGCACCGACTGGGGATTCCTGCCCTCCGATGAGGCGCTCACCTTTGTGGACAACCACGACAATCAGCGCGACGGCGGCCAGGAGCTCAACTACAAGTCGCCCAAGCAGTACAAAATGGCCACCGCCTTCCATTTGGCCTATCCCTACGGCATCAGCCAGGTGATGAGCTCCTTTGGCTTCGACGACCGCGACCAGGCGCCGCCCCAGGATGCCCAGGAGCGCATCATCTCGCCGCAGTTTGATGCCGATGGCGCTTGCACCAATGGCTGGATCTGTGAGCATCGCTGGCGACAGATCTACAACATGGTGGCCTTCAAGAACGCCGTCAGGGGCACCCAGATGAACAACTGGTGGGACAATGGCGACAACCAGATTGCCTTCTGTCGCGGCTCCAAGGGCTTTGTGGCCTTCAACAATAATCTCTACGATCTGTCGCAGAATTTGCAAACCTGCTTGCCCGCCGGCGAGTACTGTGACGTCATCTCCGGCAACCTGGTGAATGGCGCCTGTACAGGCAAATCAGTGACGGTGGATGGCAGTGGCTACGGCTACATTCACATTGGCGCCGAGGACTTCGACGGCGTCCTAGCCCTGCACACAGATGCGCGTTTGTAAGAGCCGCATAAATAAAAAGGATATTCCAAAAAGCTGTTAATTTTCTTGTTTTCAAATAACGACATTGAATCGGGATTTATTTCTCAATTGTTACAATAAAACGCACATAAACTATAATTTTGGCTAAACGAATGCCCGCACAAACACATATATATATATAATACTTATGATAAGTTCGATAGTTCGATAACTGCAACGATAACGATAGAAACGGTACAAAGTATAGACTTGAACTGTATAGAACACGTTTCCAACTGCAATTGGACAACTCACACACTCTCTCTCTCTCTCTCTCTCTCTCTCTGCCTCCCTCCCTCCCTCTTTCACAATCAATATTCATTTATAATTATTTGTGATAAAAATGCTTATAGCCACGCCCGCGCACTCCACATCCAATAAATCCGCTAGGTTAAATGTCTGTAAATAGAAGAAAGTCGCATTTGTGAAATTTGTAGTTGGCTGCTTTCGCCCTCTCTCACTCTCTCGCATACACAGGCAAATCAAAATTGATGTCTTATCGCTCTGGAGTACTACGAATTGTTGTCAAGCGTTTCGGTTTAGTTTTTAAAAACAAGCAACTACAAATTAAAATATGGCAACATTTCAACTACTTGCATTCATGTTAGTTATACGAACAAAATTGTTTAGATTGGCATAGCAAGGTATGTCACATACATACACAAACAGATGTGCATCTATGATCTTATGCAGATGTGGCTCATGTTGTTGTTGTTGTTGTTGTTGTTGTCAATGTCGTGTAAGTACAATATATATATAGTATATAGAATTAAATGCTTTATATGCGTAAATACCTGTAAAATGTTGATATCTTTTTCTTTTCATTTCATTTCTGAATTTTTTGCTTTTATAAATTATGCTGACAGTTGATCTTAGTTAATAAACTTATGATTTTCTTAGACACCACATAGATTGCTTAAGTTTAGTTTCCTTTTTTTTTTGTCACAAACAAACATGAAGTCCAAAAAAGTGCTCGAACAACATGAAATATTATTTTATCCCAAATTGTTTTTTTTTTTGGCTCATTTTAAATATAAATTTTAAATTTTTAAAATATTATTTTTCGGCACAAAAGTTTTGCTTTTAAGATTTAAGTACGGCCCCAAATCCAGCTTTAGATTTACCTAAGCATATATAGCATATGCTTAATTTAATTTTAATCTGATTTAACGTTTCTTTCTTTAATTTAGTTTAGTTTAGTTTAGTTTAGTTTAGTCTTAAGTTTAAACAATAAACGTTATCCCTTGCAATAGCAGATTTTCATACATAAAGAATTGATCATTTAACAATATTTTATTTATATATAATAGCTAGTCCATCAAAAATTTGTAATACATATTTATTTATATATATATGCGTGTATATATCTATATAACAGGAACCACGTAAAATGCGCACATACTCGTAATATTTGTTCACAATATACCACAAACATTACAACATTTAGTTATTAACATTAATGCAGTTATGTATATATAGATAATCATTTACCTTATACATATATATATATATAAATGTTTTCTATTGTTTAATTAGTAATCAGGTAAATCGTGGGAGGAATTATTGTTTCACATATATTTTGTAGATTTTTTAGAATTTATTTGTTTTTTTTTGTTTTGGTTTTTTTTTTGAGATTTTGCAAGCAGCCAGCAACAAATTTATAGTGTAAATTTTCATTTGTACCTCGCAAGCATGAACCGAGTATTATCCTTGAAGACGATAAAGTGTTAATGCATAGTGCTAGCCTACATGTAAAAATGATCTAACTTAGCCTATATATTATATATATAAATAGATTTATTCAAGGACTTCTCATTCACAATTACAAATACTTATCATCGAGTTTTGAAACGGCCTAAAAACCAGAACCATTTTATAAAGTTTGATCTCCGCACTGAGTTTTTTAAGAACTTACGACTAGGGTTTCCGCGGGAGTTGCTTGTGGCGAATCCTTGGATTGAATAACACTTAGATTGTCGAAAAAAATTGTGTGCCTGCTGACAAAAATATCGTCGCACAGTGCACACACAGATTGCTGCCTGGGATTAGGTAGTTGATCCAAAGATACAAATGTGTCTTTGCTTCAGTTGAGGAACGAACATTGATGCAAATTTAAGAAACGTTTCTGACTATATCGATCTCTATGACTAGGCACACAAACAGTAGAGTTGTATCTTAGTATATATTATTGATTCGTGCCCTCGATCGCCGTTTAGAAACTCTTGCCCGCATCGTGGATGCGCTTGCGGCGACTGTCCCGGCGCCGATAGCGATCGATGATGCGCGAACGATGCCGCTCCGGGCACAGCGCCTCCGGGGAGCTGTCAACTTTCTTCATCACTATGCGGAATGTAAATGTGTGCTTGGGCGAGGCGCTGGCCGCCCGACGCGGTGAAGGCGGCTCGAATTCGCTGCCACTGGAAAAGCCACAGGATCCCAGCGAGGCATTGGCCGGGGCTATGCCAATGCCAACCGGAATGCCCACTCCAACGCCAACGCCAATGGCGGGCATAGCAGCCATGCCACCCAGAGCACTTGGGATGCGTGGTGCATTGGTATAGCCGGAGACGGAAGCGGAGGCGGAGGGCGTGGACATGGAGCCCGTGGAGAGCTGCTGAGTGAGCACCGAGCTGGGCCTCGGCTCGAAGATCGAGGCACAACGCAGATCGGTGCACAGAAATGTTTTGACCTCCTCCTCCCGCTGCTTGATGGTCAGCGGAAAGTGCTTTTTGCTGGGATCAGCATAGGGGCTGCGCTGCGGCTCATGGCCATGGGGATAGGAGGAGCTGGAATCGTAGCTGTCACGCGAGCTGTAGTTGGAGGAGGTCTGCTGTGAGAGCGGGCTGCGTGCCCGCGAGAAGGCACTGAAGGGCGAGATGTGTAGCTGGCGAAAATGCTCCGCCTTCTGCTTCTTGGTCATGGGAAAATTGGGAGAACGAGCCGGCGTAATGCCACTCGTCTCCGAAGGCGTGTAGTCGAAGTGTGTCTCCAGGGAAGACTTGCGACCACATGAGGAGCCGGAACGTTGGAAGGTTTCCGCATCGACTAGCTCAATTGAGCTCTTGCGCAGATCAATGTGTCGACGACGATCGTCCGTGTCGACGATCTCAAAGCTAGAGGTCTGATCCTCGTAGCTAGTGGACTGATATCGCGATATGGACACATCGAAGCTGGTGTCACGCGAGGAGTAGGGACAATCGAAACTAGATTCGGCTCGACTAGACTTGCGATCGCCGTCGACCATCTCGAAACTGTCGCCGCCGGAGTCCAGGCGCTGCAAATTGATCAGATCTGTGTCCGTATCGACGCCCGGACTGCGTAGCTGTTCCAAGAACGGCGAGCGCGGCGGATCGAAGGACGAACGACGCGATGGCGGCTCAAACTCAATAGTAGGACACTGCAGCGGCAGCTTCTCTGGCGCTGGCGGTGCCGCTACAGCTGCCGCTGCCACACTGGCTGCTGCCTCTGCAACGGCACGAGCCACCGCCTCGGCCTCCTCGGTTTCGCGCCGCAGTGCCTGCAGATTAACATAAACTGGCTCTGGTGCATAGGCTTTCAAAATCTCCGTAAGCTCCGCGCGCAGCTCCTCGGGTATGATGAGATCATTCGAATCGGACTCATGCTCTTCGCTGATGCGCGGCTCAATGGGCTCGCGGCTCTCCGAACGACGCGTGAAATGATGAACGGCCGGTGTCCCATTCTCGCCATTGAGTGCGACCACCTTTAGGGAGTTGGTCACATCCTCGACAAACTGTGCCATGGCAGCATCCGCTTGCTCCGGTTCGCCTTCCTCGGGCTCGTCTTCCACCTCCAGCTCGGGCTCGACCAGTTCGCGGAGTCGCTCATGCTTGATATAGGACTCACCTACCTTCTCAAAGTGCACATTCGCCAGCTCGAATGGCAGCTCCTCCTCTGCTCCGCTTGCACCTACCTGATCCTGTACGTTGCCCGCATTCGAGTCCGTGCTGGCACGCTTCGAGCCGGACGCCGAGCTGACTGCCGATGACTTTTGCTGCTGCTGCTGCTGCTGTTTCTCCTCCTCCTCCCGACGAGCCAGGCGACGCAGCTTCAGCGACATCTTTGTGTAATGTGCAAACTTCAGTGACATCTTCGGCTCGAAGCCCACCTCGGACATCTGCTTCTGCACGGCACTCTTGGCGGCCGTCGACGAGGCAGCCGGGCTGGCCGAGAATGTGCTCTGACGTATAAGCGGGCCACTGGAAGAGCCAGACTCGGCCCGCGTGAACGCATTGGCAAAGCGATTGGTGCGCGTCGTCAAGTGCTTCGATGGCTTGCGCACAAAGGCGAGAATCTCACGCATTACGCTCTTCTTTTCGGGCTGCGGCTGTGCCTGGGCGGCTTCCTTTTCTTTCTCCCGAGCTGCTGCCTCGGCGGCTTCACGTTCGCGCTCTGCACTCTTGTATGTCTCGGCGGGATTGGACACTGTAATGGGCGGTATGGGACCCATGGGACTTCGCTTCTCGCTGGCAAAATACATCGGCGTGAAGAGACTTATCGAGTTGCGCTTCAGCCCAATGAAGCCGGTCTCCTCTGGCTCCGTGGCCATGTCCTGCACGTGCACAGTGGATGTGGGACTGCGTCGAGTGTTCGATGGCCCCGCCTGGCAACTGAAGTCCGAGGGTGCGACTGCGCCCAGGGGCGAGCGACGCTCCTGCGTATGGATCTGTATGCTGAAGGTTGGACTGCGTCGCTGTGAATCACCTGTGGGACTACGCGCCGTCGGACTAGGCTGCTCATTCGGGGATCTCAGGCCGCTGCTCGGAAACAGCGGGCTCCGACGGCCCTGCGGACTACGATCGTTGAGGCCTGCTGGGCTGCGCCGGCCCTGGCTCTGGGCGCCCAGAGTAATGGATAACTGGCCGCTGTTCTTCCGTCGACTGGAGGCGCGCAGGGTGCCCTGTCGCGAGAGCGTGGTGGGCGTCTTCTGTGAGCTGCTGCCTGGACTCTTGGATTCTGGCTGTGGCAGCACCGGACTTTTAGGTGTCAGCGGGCTGCGTTTCTTCTCGCTATTGGCAGCGTTTGTGTTCAGGGTGAGAGTGGGAGCATTGGGACTACGTCGTTCGGAGGGGCTGCGACGTGTGCGGAACGAT